TTTAAATAAAATTCACAAATCCTACAAATACCGATACAACCATTCCCAAAACCTGGTGTCACTGAGTACATGAGCATCTAATATGATTACAAATCTGGAAAATACGATCCATAATAGTCTGAGACCAAATACAATAAACAAGGAGATAGGGAAGGAGAGGCAAGGTCTGCGAAACACGGCAGCTACCTCAGAATCTCCGTAAAATCAGCTGTGCGAAAGAATCAACACCCGCTATGTCCGGAAATACCTGGATCTGCACACAAAGTGCAGGGTGTAGTATGAGTACAACCAACTTAGCAAGTAACAATAATAAATAAAGAACTGAAGATACTGACGAGCTACACAATTATAGTTAACTTTCAGTAATTCCAACAAAGAATAGACATGCTTTGTAATCCGACAGTTTAAGTCAAATCAATTTTATACAGTTCAAATTCATGTAATCCGGATATAAATCCTTCAGTGATTTCACAACAATGACCGATAGCAACCAAGTGCAACAACAAATGCAAAGCAAGTACAACCTCTCAGGTAACAGTCACTTAACTCATCACAACAGCCCAACCACTCAGCTCTCGGCCCTCAGCACTCACACTCAATGGGTACCCGCGCTCACTGGGAGTGTACAGACTCCGGAGTGGCTCCTACAGCCCAAGCGCTATAATCTGCACGGACAACTCACGTGTTATAGTATAAATATCTGGATCGGCACGGACAACTCACGTGCTATAGTATAATACAAGGATCCGCACGGACAACTCACGCGCTGCACGGACAACTCACGTGCTATAATATCCCGCACGGATAACTCACGTGCTATAATATAATATCTCACAATCAGGCCCTCGGCCTCACTCAGTCACAAATCTCTCCAGTCTCTCGGGCTCTCAATAATCAAGAAATCAGCCCAAACAACAATGATATGATTCATCAATAATGAACAATAGATACTGAGATAAAATAAACAAATAAATTATGACTGAGTACAAAATAACAATTACGCAGGTGGTTCAACATGTACACGACCTCTGTGGGTCCCAACAGTACCAACATATAGCCTAAACATGGTTTATAACATAATTTTCAGTCAAATCTCTATAACACAGAGAGAGCATATAGCTAGTAATAAGTTATACAATTTTACAGTTTCACGGAATGGACCAAGTCCCAATTCCTACGGTGCACGCCCACACGCCCGTCACCTAGCATGTGCGTCACCTCCAGAATACTCACAAAATCCAATAAGTCGGGGTTTTATACCTTCAGGATCAGATTTAAAACTGTTACTTACCTCAAATCGTGAAATTCTTTATTCTGCAATGGCTTTTCCTCGTGAATTGGCCTCCAAACGCCTCGAATCTAGCCACAAATAATTCAATTCAGTCAATAAAATTTATTGGAATTAATTCCATAAGAAAATTCTAATTTTCCATAAAAATTCTAAATTTAGCTCAAATATCGCCCGTGTGGCCCACGTTTCGGAACCCTATAAAAGTTACAAAATATAAACGCCCATTCAACCAAGAGTCTAACCATACAAAAATTACTAAATTCCGATAACAATTCGGCCCTCAAATCCTCAAATTTATCCAAGAGGGTTTTCAAACTTTTCCAACTTAATTCACCAATTAAATGATAAAAACAACCATGGATTCGGATAATTTAACCAATATTGAGTTAAGAACACTTACCCCGTTGTTTCCTCTGAAATTCTCCCCAAAATCGCCTCAATCCGAGCTCCAAATCGTTAAAAATGGAAAAATGGGACGAACTTAAACTTTCTATCCAGACCTCTCTTCTTCAGGAACGTGATAGGTCCCTCGCGTTCGCGAAGCACAACTCGACTGCCCAGAATTTAACCATTCGCAAACATGACCATGGCTTCGCGAACGCGAAGCTTTACTAGCTCAGACCTTCGCGAACGCGACCACAACCTCGCGAACGCATAGAACAAGGACCTGGGGTCTCCAATTGGCTCCCTCCTCTTTGCGAACGCGACACCACTCCTACGTTCACGATGCACACACAGACCATACCTTCGCGTTCGCGTCATCCCCTTCGCGGACGCGAAGAACAAAATCTCACCACTTCGAAAAAACTCTTCGCGAATAGAGGGCCCACTCGCGAACGCGAAAGAGGAAATCAGAAAAATGCAGCAGCAGATATCAGCAATCTCACCAAGGCCAAAAATGATCTGTTAACCCCCCAGAACTCACTCAAGCCCCCCGGGGGCCCAACCAAATATACCATCAAGTCCTAAAACATCATACAAACTTAGTCGAACCCTCAAATCACCTCAAACAATGCTAAAATCGCGAATCATACCCCAATTCAAGCCTAATGAACTTTAAAATTTCAAGTTTTCACAAACGACGCCGGAACCTATCAAATCAAGTATGATTGACCTCAAATTTTGCACACAAGTCATAAATGACATAACAGAGGTATTCCAATTTTCATAATCGGATTCCGACCCCGGTATCAAAAAGTCAACCCCCGGTAAAACTTTCCATAAATTCAACTTTCGCCATTTCAAGCCTAATTCCACTATGGACCTCCAAATAATTTTTCGGACACGATCCTAAGTCCCAAATTACCATACGGAGCTATTGGAATCATCAAAATTCAAATCCGAGGTCGTTTATACATAAGTTCACATCCGGTCACTTTTTTAACTTAATTTTTAATTATGAGGCTAAGTGTCTCAGTTCACTCCGAATTCTTTCCGAACCCGAACCAACTAACCCGGTAAGTCATAAAATAACTGTAACGTATAAATTGAGTAGTAAATGGGGGAACATAGTTAAAATATTCAAAACAACTGTAATTTGAGTTTCACAGTAGAGGGGATTGAGAGAAGAAAAATGTGGTCTTTCTTGGTAAGTTGCGTGTGAAGATGAATACTTGGATTTGTTTTTTGGGTCTTTTGCTGAAATGTTTTTGATTTTTTTTTAATAGCCACATCATCGCATTTTACTCTACCTTGGATAGCCCTAACAGAGGAGGGATATATTTGAACTATTGACTAACGTTAGGATTATTTTTGTACAGATAGTATAACAGAGGGTAAATATAGACTATATTCGATAGTACATGGGTATATTTGACCCTTTTCCCAATAAAAAAACTTGAACTAACACATAGCTAATAACAACAACAACGAACCCAGTGTATTCCCATAAATGGGGTCTGAGAAGAGTAGTGTGTATGAAGACCTTACCCCTACCTTATAAAGATAGAGAGACTGTTTCCGATAAACCCTCGGCTCAAGGAACAGTGGAGATAAGGCAACAAGTAACAAATAATAGTAACAACAATATATTAAGGTAACAGACACGAATGACACAACATGTAATAGTAAAAAATCATGAATAACAATAACAACAACAACAACAACAACAACAACAACAATAATAACAAACCCAATAGTTTCACAAGTGGGGTCTAGAGAGGGTAAGATGTACGCAGCCTTACCCCTACCTCTAGAAGGGTAGAGAGGTTGTTTTCGATAGACCCTCGGCTAGAGAACGACTCAAAAAGAAAAGGTAATTGCAACAAGTAGGAATAACGGCAAGATGAAATAAGTTTGAATCCAAGAATACAGTCAAACTCTAGGTAGTAATAGCCATCTATGGAAAAACGATATCATACTAACTCCAATACTAGCGAACTGAGTAAGACAAAGAGAAATGCTCGACTACCTATAAACCTTCTACCCTAATCTCTGACCTCCACACCCTCCTGTCTAGGGCCATGTCCTCAGTCAGCTCCAGCTGCGCCATGTCCCGCCTAATAACCTCTTCCCAAGACTTCTTAGGCCTACCTCTGCCTGTCTTGCTACCCACCGAGGCTAATCGCTCACACCTCCTAACTGGGGCTTCTATACTTCTCCTCTTAACATGCCCGAACCATCTCAACCTCGCCTCCCACATCTTATCCTCCACAGGGGCCACTCCCACCTTTTTCCGAATAACTTCATTCCTAATCTAATCCAACAGGGTATGCTCACACATCCACCTCAACATCCTCATCTCAACTACTTTTAGCTTCTAGGTATGAGAGTTCTTGACCGGCCAACACTCTGCTCCATACAACATAGTCGATCTAACTACAACCTTGTAAAACTTACCTTTAAGTCTCATCGGCACATTCTTATCACACAAGACACCGGAAGCGAGCCTCCACTTCATCCATCCTGCTTCGATACGATGTGTGACATATTTATCAATCTCCCCGTTACCTTGTATTATAGATCCAAGATACTTGAAACTATCTCTCTTGGGGATGACTTACGTATCAAGCCTCACCTCCATATCCCCTTCCTGGGTACCGTTGCTGAACTTGCACTCCAAGTATTCTGTCTTGGTCCTGCTCAACTTGACACCCTTAAACTCTAGGGTCTTCCTCCAAACCTCCAGCCTCTCGTTAACACCACCCCGCGTCTCGTCAATTAAAAATATGTCATTAATAAATAACATACACCATGGCACCTCACCTTGAATGGGTCTCGTCAAAGCGTCCATCACCAAGGAAAAAAGGAATGGACTAAGAGTTGATCCCTAGTGCAACCCCATCATAACTGAAAAGTGTTCCGAGTTTCTTCCCGCTGCCCTAACCTGAGTCTTAGCTCCATCATACATATCCTTAATAACCCTAATGTAGGCTACTGGGACCCCTTTAGCCTCCAAGCATCGCCAGAGCACCTCTCTCGGGACTTTGTCATATGCTTTCTCTAGGTCAATGAATACCATGTGCAAGTCCTTCTTCATCTCCATATACCGCTCCACCAATCTCCTCACAATATGAATGGCTTCCATAGTCGAACGCCCCGACATTAATCCGAACTGGTTCTTAGAAATGGACACACTGGTCCTCACCCTTACTTCAACCACCCTATCCTAAACTTCCATAGTATGGCTTAGAAGCTTAATCCCCTTATAATTATTGCAACTTTGGATATCGCCCTTGTTTTTATACAAAGGAATCATCGTACTCCAACTCTATTCATCGGGCATCTTCTTCGTCCTAAAAATGACTTTGAACAGCCTAGTGAGCCACTCCAAACCTGTCTTACCCGCATTCTTCCAAAATTCCACAGGTATTTCATATGGCCCGGTAGCTCTACCCCTGTGCATCTTACGCATAGCCCCCTCGACCTCCCATACACTTATGTGCCTACAATACCCAAAATCCCTGCGCATCTGGGAGTGCTCCAAGTTGCCCAGCACAATGTCCCTATCACCCTCTTCATTCAAGAATTTATGGAAATATGTCTGCCATCTTCGTCTAATATGAGCCTCTTCAATCAAAACTCTACCTTCCTCATCTTTGATACACTTAACTTGATCCAGATCATGGGCCTTCCTCTCGCTTACCTTGGCCAGCCTGTATAACTTCTTGTCCCCGCCTTTAGCCCCAAGCTCCTCATACAAACGCCCAAACGCCGCAGTCTTAGCCGCAGTAACCGCTAACTTCGCCTCCTTCTTAGCCCTCCCATACCCCTCCATGTTCATCCTCTTCGCCTCTTCATCCATGCTCTCTATAAGCGTCAAGTACGCCGCTTGCTTGGCTTTCACTTTCTCTTGTACCTCCTCACTCCACCACCAATCACCTTTGTGTCTGCCAGAGAAGCCCTTCGAGACCCCTAACACTTCACTCGCAACTACTCTGATACACTTCGTTGTCATGGTCTATATACAGCTCGCGTCCCCATTGCTCCTCCATGCTCCCATAGCCAACAACTTTCCCCCCAACTCCTGCGCTTTGTCACTAGTCAAAGCACCCTACCTGATTCTGGGCTGACCATACATGACCCTCTTCCTCCTCTTCCTCACGATCTCTAAGTCCATCATCAATAATCTATGCTGAGTCATGACATTCTCGCTTGGTATAACCTTGCAATCCATGCACAGACTCCTATCGCATAAACTCCTGGGTTGGCATATGCACAGAAAGAATCATGAATAAGATAACACAAAAATAGTCCTAGTACTACTGGTAAGCCTATATGTCAACCTACAACTCTAATGTGCGAATTTATAATTTAAGTCTATGAACAACATTCTTTCTTCTAGGGGAATCTCTAACACTAAAAACTATTACAATCTCCCTTGCGATGCTCTCCCAACTTTTGCTTTGTTTCTCAAAAATTCTAGGATTCCTTTCTATCCATATGCCATGTACAAATTCAACATATAAACGTTTAAAAATCTATGTAGCTACAATGATATTGTGAATGTACCGATCCCATCCAACAACAATCTGATCTTGCCTCTGTGCCCACATCATCAACTTGGACCATACTCTTTGTGCAAATTCACATTGTCTGAATAAATGATCAACTGTTTCATTACAGGTCTGACACAATACACATTTAGTTTCCACTTTTAAGCCCCATCTGGTTAGTCTATCAGTGGATAAGAGCCTTTGTACTTGGAGTCACATTGTGAATTTCGCTTTTGGTCTGGCATCATTCTTAAACATGAGGCATTTCTTTTCTACTTTGATTTAAAAAATTTATTTTTCAAGAGCCTACGTCTCCTGTTTAGAACTTCTCACCAACAGTAGAAAACACTTTCCATTTCTTGCCAAATACCTCAAATCTCCGCCCACAAAAGAGCGTTTAGCTTTCTAAAAACTTGATCAAACAGGTTATAAGCAAATAAGGAGGCATGACTTCATATGAAGAGTTTCTTGTTTAACAGTTGACCTATTGCCTCTGGTTTTCAATATTATTGCAGCCTAGAGTCTAGGCTCATGTCTGGGTCTTCACTTTAGAGATTAGACATGAAGGTGAGGCAATTCTTTGACATGTCATTACTTGATTCAATCAAAAATCTCTCCCAGATAGAAGATCAAATGACAGCTTTATCTAACGGAATTAACTAAGTCATACAACAAATAACATTTAAGAACGTTACTCTTTTATTATTAAATCTATAATTTCACCCCTACACCCAGTTGTGCATACCATATTTTCAAAAAGATTGTCCTAATTTTTATCTAATTATTGTCTACATTTTCAAATATGAAACATTTTCATTCACATTTCATTGTATTCTTAGACTACACATAGTAGCTTACTATTTTTATACTAATAAAAATATAAAAATAAATAATTAGACTACATCAAGAAGTAATTAAGGAAAATATTAAAATCACTAGATTATTTATTAAAACTTAAATTAATAGAAAATATATTTTTATAAATTTTCTTTTTCTTTTGTAAGTAAAAACAAAATTTATATCTAAAATATGAATTTACTTTTTTGAATATTTTTTTCACAATAAACATTCGCTAAAAATATTATAAACATTAAATTATTAAATTTAAGGTTAAGTATTTTTTTAAAAGAATGGACTAGTCCTCTATGATATCCTGACAATATGTAATATATATCATGTGAGTATCATAAAGGACTAATGAGTATTTTTGAAGGGATAAATCAGTCCTCTATGATACCATGTCAGTATATAATATATACCAGTTTGGTATCATAGAGGACTGAACTCTTTTTTAAAGAAATAAATCAGTCCTCTATGATAACCTATCAGTACATGATGTATTGTCACGACCCAATTTCACTTATAGGTCGTGATGGCGCCCAACACTACAGCTAGGCAAGCCAACTTAATAAATTAAGTATATATTGATAAAATTTAAAACCAAAAAAATAATAAAATACCAAATTCTACTAATGTGTGTGCCAAGACCTGGTGTCACAAGTGTATGAGTATCTAGTAGATTATACAAAACCTCAAATATTGTCTGAAATAAAAATAGACAGAATGAAAAATACAAGGAGAGACACTAGTAGCTGCAGAACGGCTCAGAAAGGCAGCTCACCACTATGTCCCTTGATAACGTGGGTGTAAGACGATAGGTCCCCCACTAGTACTTGCCTCAGGTCCTGCACAAAAAGTGCAGCAAATGTAGTATGGGTACGTAAACAACGTGTACCCAGTAATTATCAAGCCTAATCTCGAAGTGGTAGAGACGAGATTGCCGACTTTGACACTCACTATGGTTCAATAATAATAATTGAAATACAACTAGGATATCTAAATCAGCATGATTCACAGAATTTACAATTATTTATTTAACCACCAGAAATAATCAAATTCCTTCAAATGCAACAATTCTCAATATATTAATTACATTCCTTCAATTCAAATAATTTTTAATTTATCAATTAATCTCATTCACAGGAATAACAATTAATTCCTTAACAAGCAGGAATAATAATTCATTAAATTTCAAGGGTTCTCAAATTTATCAATTAGCTTCACAAGCTGAAATAACTATTAAAGTATCGTGTAATTATTATTATTAAGCACAATTTCTGCCGAGGACGTACGACCCGATCCAGAGNTAATTCTCCCCTCACAAGATTAGACAAGAGACTTACCTCGTCTCAAAGTCCACTTTCTGATTACCACGTCGCGTTGAATTCTCGATTCGACGACGAAAATCAAATATTATACAAAATAATTAATATATGCTAAATGATTCGAAATTTATCTATTAAATAAATTACCTTATCCAAAATAGTAATTTTTTTAAAATTCACCCGAGACCCACGTGCTCGAATTCTGGAAATTTTTCGGATGAAAACGTTACCCATAATCTCAAGAACTTAAATATATAATTTCTACCCAATTCCATAACTATTTTCGTGGTTAAAATCTCATTTGTTTTATAAAAATCTAGATTTTTTTACCTAAACCCTTGATTTCTAAGATTTACTAGTTATAATCTACCTATAATCTATGTATTTAACTCAAGGGGTGTGGAATTAACTTACCTTCCAATTGCTAGTTGAAATCCCCCTCTCAAAAGCTCTGAAATCGCTCGGAAATGGAGGAAAAATGGGCTCAAACTGTCTGAGCTCCGACTTTTTAACCATTCTGCCGAACAGGCATTTGTGCACCTGCGGACAGTGTACTGCACCTGCGGCTTTCGCACCTGCGGAAAATCCTTGCAGGTGCGAGTTTCACTCGCCTGGGCCAAGGTCGCTTCTGCGCACCCTTCTTCGCACCTGCGCGTTCGCAGGTGCGCAAATTCTCCGCATCTGCGGTCCACTGCCCCTCCCCCTTTTCCGCTTCTGCGCACAAGGACTCGCATCTGCGAGGTTCGCTCCTGCGAGCTACTGTCGCACCTGCGAATGTCGCACATGCGGCTGGCAAAGCGCAAGTGCGATTCTGACAATAGCTGGGAGCTTCAGTTTTGGCTCGCAACTTCTAACTTGGTCTGAGCCTCGTCCGATTAACACTCGGGACCCCCGGGGCCTCGCCCAAATATACCAACAGGTTTGTAATCATAAAACGGACTCGCTCGAACTCTCAGAATGCGTAAAACAACATCAAATTTAAGAATCATACCGTAAATCAAATTGATTCAAACTTAAGAATTTCAAGTTCTTCAATTTACTTCCAATGCGCCAAAATATACTTAAACTATTCGGAATGACACGAAAGTTTGCGTGCAAGTCTTAAATCACTATACGGAACTATTCCCAAACTCCAAATTCCAAACGGACTTCAATTACTCAAAATCCTTTTCCAAACCAAATATAAAAAAGTTTAAACCTTTAAATAGTTGATATTTTTACTATTAAGCGCCAAAATGCTCCCGGGTTATTCAAAACCCGATTCGGACATACGCATAAGTCCAAAATTATCATACGAACCTATTGGAATCGTCAAATCCCGATTCCGAGGTCGTTTTGACCGAAGTCATACTTGTCCATTTAAAGCTAACTTAAGGAATCAAGTGTTATGATTTCAACTCACACACTTCCAAATCCTGAACCAACCATCCCCGCGAGTCATAAATTAATAAAAGCATGTTCGGGGAGTTTTATTTTAGGGGATGGATTTTTAAAAGTTAAAATGACCGGTTGGATCATTACATGTATACCATACAAGTATTATGGCGTATTGATGAGTATTTTTCTTTTAAGGAATGAACCAGTCGTCTATGATACTTTATCGGTATATTATATATACCATGTGGGTATCATAAAGGAATGATGAGTATTTTTGGGAGGAATGAATACGCCCTCTATGATACCCTATTATTATATGATATATACCATATTGGTTGAGAGGACTGATGAGTATTTTTAGGAGGAATGAATCTGCCCTCTATTGGTATATGACATATACCTAATTGGTATCATAAAGGATTGAGTATTTTCCCGGAAGAAATGAACCAGACTTCTATGATACTCTATTCGTATATGACATATACCATATGGGTATCATAGAGGACTCATGAGTATTTTTGAGAGAAATGAATATGCCCTCTATGATACCCTATCAGTATATGATATATACTATGTTGGTATCATAGAGGGCTGAGTATTTTGCTTGGAAAGAATGAACCAGGCCTCTATGATACCCTATCTGTATATGATATATACTATCTTACTGATATATTATATAGTTTACTACTATATTATAATTTAGTATACATACAATAGTATTTCTACAATAATATACAATATACTATAATAGTATATAATATAATGCAATAATATATTGTATAGTATATAATATACTACAATAGTATGTAATATGCTGCAATAGTATATCAGTATAATTGGACCATTTTTTAGATTTTTAAAATTTTCAGGTCCTTGTTGAAATTTTAGACGATGTTTTCATGGTGGAGATTTTGCAGTAA